ACGCGGCGCCACGCGGAAGACCGAGCCGCGGAAGCGGCGCCAGGTGTTGAGGAGGCCGACGCGGAAGTAGTTGGCAAAGGGCCGCTGCTCAAAGGGCGACAGCGTGTACGTGATGACGTGCCGCACGTAAGCCAGGCGGCCGAACTCAGGCCCCATGGCGCCGCCCTGCAACAGCGCGAACGTATCACCGCCCGCCCGGGACGCACAGAAGGAGGGGAGAGTAGGGCAAGGGAAAGGCCGCGCCCCCCACTCACCGCTCACAAGCTCTGCAGATACCGAACGCCTGCTAAGATCACCTTTTACTGCTCCGCCCTGCGCCACTTCCGCTTCCGGGGCGCGGGGCAAGCTCCGCCCCCTCCCCGCCGCGCGGCTAGTGAGGGGCGAAGCCACCTCCCTCCCCGGTAAGGCCCTCCCCACCCCATCGCGCGGCTTGTAAGGGGCGAGGCCACGCCCCTCCCGGGACAAGCCACGCTCCCTCACCCTTCCCCGGCGCGCGGACTGTGAGGGGCGAGGCCACGCCTCTCCGCCGAGTAACGGCCGCTGGCTGAGGGGCAGGGCAGGGCAGGGCAGGGCTGGCAGCGCCGGGCTTCAGGTCTTGTCGCTGCCTGAAATGGCGGCAAGCACCAGCGTCTCTAAGGTGCCCCGTGGCCATTGCACTCGCTGGCAGGGCTACAGTCAGAGCCTGGTGGGACGGGGCCAGCAGGCCGTTGAGGCCCTTGCCCAGGCCACGCTCTGCTGAGCTCCCTGTGCTGCCCCTCTGGTACCCGGAGGGTCTCTCCCCCGTCCCCCACCTCAAAGCCTGATCCCTGCCCCCCGTCGGCAGGATCTGGCCTAGATCCACCTCCCCACCACCTGGCAGGACCCAAGACTAGGCCTCTGCACCCAGGGGCCATGGTTCCCAGAGCAGGGGGCAGCAGTGATAGCCACGCCAAGAACTTCTCCAGCCCTGGCTGAGCTGCTGCCACCCCCATCCTGGCCCTGGCCGCCCTGTGCTCAGTACGCCTCAGATTGCATCCAAAATCCACTGGGGACGGTTCTGGGGTTCGCAGCCTGGGCTTGCTGCTGAGACAGGAGCCCTGTTGGTTTGGGGGCCAGTTCTTGCACGCTCCTAACTGGGTGCCTTGCCCACCTGCCCCTAGTTACACTGCAGGCCTGTAGCATGAGGACATAGGCTTCTTTTTTAAAACCCTGCCCTGAAGCATTATATGCACTGAAAACAGCATGGGCTACTGCTTCATTTAACCTACCTCACCCCTCCCCCCTCATCGGTGTGGCACAGTTGGGTGGCACCAGAGTCTCGGGAGACTTGCAAAGTATTTATTGTACTGGCAGGTTAAAGCAAGGGGTGTTTGCTCAAGCTAGGCGGTGTAATTCAGTCTTTCACACTGAAGCACGTCACTTGTTTGTGTTGAAAGTAGCTTATCTTTATTTATATTTCAGGGGCTCCCAGGGACCTCACTTCTGAATGAAAGCCCCATTTATGGTAGGTACAGTCTAAACATGTACACCCACGCTGCAGCAAACATATAGCTGCCTTCCTACAGTTGCAGGGAAACTGCCATTTCCCTTTTCACATGTCCATAAGGCAAGATGAAGTGTTAGTGCTGTATGATTATTATTGCAGATTATATATATATTTATATCTGACAACTCAGGGGAATATGGTCGTAAACTTTCATGCAGTTTTCTGTTGCCTACTTAGACTGCAGATGTCCCAAATGCAGTTTCCTATGCTGAAGTGCTCGACTTGAGGCAAATGAGGTTTTTCTTTGTGCATGTGCTTTTGTGTTTTACTCCTTGGAGCCTTAGCCGAAGAGAATTTCTATTCTGTTTGAATAAGGCTAAGAAAAATTGGGATACACAAGAATGACATTTTGTTGAAGCAACAGGTCTCAACCTTTTAAGACTCAAGGCACCCCTCAGAAAGTGCCAGCTCTTAGTTTTCACATTTTTTTTTCCCCTGCACTCAAACAAATCCACAGAGCAGTTTCTTTGTTGCAAATTGCTCAAAGACCACAGCTATGGATTTCTTTGAAATCTCTAGGTTTATCTTGCAAATGATTTTTATAAACTTAATAGTGTTAACTGTGACATTCCACAACATCCTTAAAGGATCTCAAGGCACACCCTGGTTGGAAAAAAAAGCAAAACAAAAAAGACCAAAACACAAAAAACAAAACCTATATGTTATACTGATCTACCTCTTAACAGCAGTAAACTTGTGATAAAGCTACTCTCCAGTCTACACTATCAAGGTCAGATGTTGTTTGTCCCTTCCATCTACTCCCCACCCCTACATTAACAAAAAAAACCCCAAACAAACAAGCCCAACAACATGATTTTAGGTATAATAGTGAACAGTTGTTTTAGCCTGTATTTTCAGGGTTTTAGCTATTTAAGTGAAACATCTAGTTTAAGTTGAAGCTGTAGGAATATTGGAAACAGCTGGATAATATTCAGCCCCAATATACTTTTAGTTCTAAACAGCTGTCTAAACACTAAATAATTCACTGTAATAGTTGTACCAGGTAGCTGGGTATTAGCCTTGTTGAAGAGATGGCAATATGGAGGCTCAAAGTCATCACATAGTCTACTACTAGTAGAGGGAGAATTTAGACTCAGGACTTCCCAGATCAATCTTGTGCTTACTACTCTGGTCACTCCCCTTGGAGTTTTGCAGAAGCAAGAACTGATTGTTAGCATGCTGGTAAGGTGATTTCAATGTATTGTAGAAGGAAGGTTCTGGTGTGTAGTCAAACATTTATAGACTGCTTAGTAGTAAGTTTAAAATAGAAGGCTATGAATCAGAAAGTGGGAGTTCAGGGTAATATGCAGCCAGAACATCTAAAAAAAAGGAAATCTTGGGAGAATGCTTAATTAAATAAGAAACACCACCTTCTCTCAAGGTTTTTTTTGGGTTAGGTAGGTTTTGGAATGTTTACAGAGTTCAATGAACTTGGCATTTAGAATACCAACTCTAGGAGAGTCTGCACGCTGGAGATGAATAGAATTTGAGAAGTGGTGCAGGATTTTAAAAAAGGTTAAGCTTGACCCATTTTACATTTCTTAGAGCACATTTAGGTTTCAGAATAATACCAATGACAGATTAAAAGTAGTATTTAAAAAGTCAGTGGAAAGTGGGATTTAAAAATATTTTCAGGGAGGACACAGTAAGACATACCTTTATAATTTCAGTTACTCAGTGTGTTATTCCAAGTATTATTTGCACATTTCAAATTTAGCCCACTGTTAAGATTAACAGTTATTTCTTGTTCATAGCCAGACAGAAGCAAAAAACACATCAAGCATCCACAAAAAGGTTACTGAATACTATTTTTAAAAGAGAACCCATCAGTAAATCTGATGCAAGTACTTCCAAAGGGTGGCATTTTTTCCCCCAAGTGGTCTAATAACAATTCACTGAACAGTTAGAATGGGATAACAAGTTACCCCTTAGCAGGTTTTTAAAGTAAAATCAGAACATTTAGATAGCATGTTCACTTATCACTGCTCTGTATGAGAGGCCTAACAGCTTGACAAAAACAGGTTGTCTACTGCTTTTGATACCATACTGACTAGATGCAAGGTTAAGGAAGAGTGGTTTAAAAAAAGTCACTAAACGCACACTTGAAATTGAGTGCCCAGAAGTCCAAACACTAAAAACGTCTTATATAAAAAGGTATTTGCCAGAAGTCTCAGTGTACAAGGTACTAATCATGAGTGATTAAAAAAAAAGAGAGAGGCTTTACACAGAAATGGCATGAAGTTACAAATATTTATTTCCCCATAACATACAGCTTACAGTAGATCTCTTTAGTTATTAAGAGTTGCTTCCACTTTTTAAATGCAATACTCTTCCCAGTTAAAAAAAAAAAAAGTTTTACTTTTCTTAAGTGGAGTTCCTCATTTTCTATAAGTTAGAAGGGGTTATAAAATAAATGCCATTATGCAAATACCTGCCACTAACTGCAAGGTAAGTTGTAACCTATTATTTAATAAAAGAAAAAAAAAAAAAAAAAGGATATTTTTAAACTACATTTTTGATGTTTAGTTGGTCAGGTCTATAAATTGCTTTTAGTACTACAAAAAATATCCCTGAAAGTGTGCCACAGTACTGTGGGATTTACCCATTACCGGCAAGTACATTTAGTAGCTATCATGTCTTCATATTCTTTGTAGGCTATAGAACCATCAGGCTCTATTGTCAAGACACTCAGTGGACTATATTCTGCAGG